CGCGTGAGCGCGTTCCGCTCCCAAGGCCGCAGCGAGGCTGCGCTGCTCTATGCGAGTGCATTAATGCGTTCACGCGAGCTTGTTGGCGACTCTGCGGGCGTGCTGCGTGTGTGGAAGCGCCGCTTTCAGGATTCGCCGGGCATCGTGGATGATGGTGACGAGGGGCAGCGGACCGGCGGCACTGAGCTTGCAGCGCCCCAGCGGCCGAATGCATATGTCGCCTCGATCGCGATGCGGGCAGTCGTGAATTTGTGTCGCGATGCGGCGCATGTCGCGCAGACCTACCGCCGCTTTGTCGGCACAATCGTCAAAGGCGACCCCGCGGCCTCGCCCGGCTGTTTTGAGCCGTTCATCCGTGCTATGAGCATCGCAGATCCCCGCGGATACGCCAGTGGCCCTCTATGGAGCATGCTGGAGGATATGGACCGCGTAGCAGCTATCCCACGCGACACTACATGGCGTATTATCGTGCAGGCGCTCGCGCGAGACGGGCAGCAGTCGTCGTGGCATGTTCTGTGCTCGCTGTTGCAGGCGATGAGTGGCAACAGGCCGCTGTCGACTGCCGACAAGCGTATTCCAGCGGCGTTTCCCACGGTGCCGCTCTCGCCCGAGACTCTTGTGGGCGTCCTGCAGGTGCTTGCACCCGAGACGCTCAACGTGCCACGCGGACTCTGGTGGACACGCTCGCGGCAGATCGCCAAGATGGCGCAGGACCAGCACATGGACCATCCTGCGCTCCAAAAAGCGCTCGAGCGCATACAGTAGACATAATAATCATACCGTGCATGAAGCATGCATGCAAACAAAACAAACTATACTTTTATAATAATATTATCTACTACGTACACACGAAACGCCAGAGGGTATTATGGCGCATATTTCGGCTCATTGTTGATACGCTTGATCGGGTGCAGCATGGCTGGCGCGCGGCACACGTCAGCACCGTGCTTCCAGCCGAGGTATATCTCCCGAGCATGTTCCGAGTGATAGTAGAACGAAGAGTCCCTGTGCAGGTTCTCGCGGCGCGGCTCGTAAAAGTCTTGGCGATTAAGCAGCGAGTGGAGGAGGTTCACGTCCCACTCGTGGCGGAAGTAGATTGGATGTGGAGAAAACACGCCCTTGAATGGCAGCGGCAGCGTGTATGTGTATCCGGCCTCTGGGTAGAACGAGTGGTCGTGCGAGCTTTCCATTTGCGAGTGGAGCACAAGCGTCGTGCTCCATGCCTCGCAGTGCAGCGACTTTTTTGCTTCAGCGTTCACGACATTCATCGCCTCGAGCAGGCCACGCGACATGCGCATGTTTGTTCCGATCGATGCGCGTCTGTCGGTGTCCTGCCCCTTGCGGTAGTTCTGCACATCGTGCGTCCAGTACCAGCCCGAGCCACGTGGATCAAAGATCGGGCCGAGCGTGATGAGATCAGCCTCCAGTCCAATATGGCTCGTTTCTTTCATGGGCGACGTCCAGCGCTGCTCAGATACAGTCACGTTTGGAATGTACCACTGCTCGTACTTGGTCATGCCGGGCTGCAGCGGCTCGTCGCGCGCGTACTTTTCGACGCCCTCAAAGTAGTCGAGGAAGTTGCCGATGTAGCGCACATCGAGCTCCCAGTTCCACACATAGTCGTACTCTTGGTGGTCGAGATAAAACTTCTGCAGGGCCATCAAGCACGCGCGATACGACGTCTGCGCAATCATATTGTTGATAAACTTGCCAGGAAGGCCGGCGTAGAGGACCTCAAGCTCGCGCTCGCTCCAGAGGTCGACTAGGCCCCAGAACTCGCGCGGAACGCTCGTCATGAGCACACGGTAGCGGTCCCACTCGGACGTAAACACGGACAGCGAGTGGTCCTTGACCTCGACGAGGATGCGGATGTCCCATGGCGTGCCGGGGTTGTTCAGCGAGAGCTCGCTGATCAGTGCGCGGACGTTCAGGATCATGTCCTCGGACCATGCAAAGCCCTGGTACGAGCGCAGCACGAGCGCGGTGCGCTTGCGGTCGGCCGGCGGATGGTACAGCTTCATCGGATCAGCGCTGAGCCTGTGCACCCACTCGGACGTGTTGCTCTTGACGCTCTGCGACATGATCGTTGTCGTCTGCGCCGCGGAGTCGTTCGCGGCGCCCCGCTCGGCGACGCGCTGCTCGTAGCACGAGTCCATAAGTGCGCGCCAGTCGGGCATCACGAGACCGGCAAGGTCGCGCGTGTTGTACGCATACATTTCGCGGCGCAGACGCTCCTCCCATTCCCTCTCGCTCATCGATGGGTCCCGCACGGGGCCATGGAGGGGGTCGTACGACGAGTACGGCGGCCGCTGGATGCGTGGCTGGGACCCCTGCTCGAGCTCGATCGCGGGCTGGGGCAGCTCCTCGTCGGGGAGACGGTACGTGATGCCGAGCGCCTTGTCTGTGTACATGCCGTAGCGCTCCTCGTAGGTGATGCACTGTCCGTCGTCGAGGTGCACGAGCTTGTGGCTGCCGACGATCGGGTGCGGGTGGTCGGGTGGCGTGGGGTGTGCGCTGGCCGGAGAGAGCGGCACATACTTGCCTCCGGGTCCCGGGCAGCGGTGGATGTTTGGCGGAAAGATGGGGCGCTTCGGTGTGACGGCGAGCACGTTTCCATCCGGCCCGAGCGGAACGCGGGGGAAGGGCTCGACGATGTTAAATGTCAGTTCATACCACTCGGGGCGGCCTATGTTGTAGCGCAGGACGCCCAGACCAAGACCCAGCAGCAGCACGGCCAGCAGCGTGCGCCAGCGCACGAGCACGACGACCAAAGCGTCTGTCAACAAGCGCTGGACGCGTTCAGATGCGCGGCGCGCGCCGTTGCTCGCCACATATGTTGACGGGCTCGGCAGATCGCCCGACTCGTCTGCTGCGGGCTCGTACGGCTGGTAGCGGAAGCGGTGCAGGAGGGCACCGTCGTCGTCACCCTTGCCTGGTGACGCGTCAGCGCCGGTGAGCGGATCCTTTTCCATGATGGTGGATTCGGCCGAAGCTACCTAACTATTAATTAAAACTCGGGGCGTGGCGGACGCGGCCTTTGCTGCTTGTGGTTTCGTCGGTGCACCTGGTGCAGACGCTCGGCGGCGTCGTCGCCATTGTCGCCATCGTTGTAATTATACATGCCATAGTCAAAGTCTTCCTCTTCCAAAATGTCCTTCTCGTTGCTCGAGTCCATCTCGTCGCTGCCCTCTGGCAGGCTTCCTGCAGCGCTGTCGGTGTATACATCGCGTACCGGCGTATTACGTGAGCGGCGCGATGCATAATGCTTTGCATAATGCCGCTGCTGTGCCTCGCTGCGCTTCGTTTCCTCCTTGAGACGCATCGTCTCGACGCTGCGCATACGGCGCGCGCCAAATGCATTGTCCGTAGCAAGATAGATTTCCTCGGCCTCGCGGTCGGCAGCGGCCTGGGAGATCCGGCGACGCTCCTCGCGCTCCTTGCGGCGCTGGCGACGGCGCTCGCGGCGCTCAGCCGCTGCAGTGTCGAAGCCGCTCGATGTAGTCGTCGTCTGTGTGTTGGGCGAGTATTCCTGTTGTGCGAGAGCAGCTCCGCCTGCGCCAGCGCCAGCAACCGCGCCAGCGCCAGCACCAGCCGCGTTCTCTCCCGCGCCTTGGGAAAGGCCAGGGGCGAGCTCGTTCATGTACGATGCGCCCGGCGGCAGACCGGGCACAATAGGCTCCTGCACGTCGCTGTACGGGTTGTACAGATCCTTCGCAGGCATCTGGTAGTCGTATGCGCTGCGTGCCATGCTCACGGGACGCTCGTCCTGCGTCGCCATGTATCCATTTGGCGCCGCGCCAAAGTTGTCCTTGTCGTCGTCGTCCTTTCCGAACCACCTGGCAAGCGCCCACGCAATCACAGCGAGCGCAATGAGACCGACGGCACCGCCGACGGCGATACCGACAATTGCGCCGGTGCTCAGCTTGCTCGGGCTTGCCGTGTTGACTGCCGTAGTCGGCAGCGACGAGGACGCCGAGGTAAGTGCAGTCTGCGTCTCGAGTGCCGAGGTCGCGGGAGTGTCCGTGCTCATGGACGTCATTGCAGCAGCCGCACTCGACGTCGGCGAGCTGCTGCTGCTTCCGCTGTCGCTCGAAGAACTGCTGCCCCTCGCACCGCTGCCGCTGCTACTCGCGTTGCCGCTGCGACTGCGGCTGCGACTGCGGCTGCCGCTGCCGCTGCTGCTGCTTCCTCCATTGCCGTTTCCGTTGCCGTTGCCGTTGCCTCTGCTGCTCGAAGGGCTGTTTCCTGGGGTGCGGCTGCGGCTATGCTCGTAGGAGCTGGCTTCAGAGTACCAGTTCGACGTAGCAGGCCTCGGGGGTGCGTTCTGGTCACCCTCGGAGAACGAAAAGTTCTGGACAGTCTGGCGATGGGTGCTTGACTTGCGCGAGGAAACAGTGAGGGTCTTGGCATTGACGGACTCAGTCTGGCCGGGCGTGTACACCGAGAAGGGGTTGTAGTCGCGGCGACGCATCGCTCCCAGGTGCCTGCGCACCGCTCTGTGGCGACCGTGCTCACTCATGGATAAGGTGCAGTAGGGGTGTCGCGACGCGTTATGTCCAGCTTCGCGTCATGCATTCCCTGAATATCAATTATGCAACTGAGAAATGCATACCACATTCCAGTGACAGCAAATCCAACGCCCTATCAATTAGACACCTAAAATTCTTCAAGTGCGCGAGGCATGTATGGGGTCATTAGGGCACATACTGTAGCAAATCTGGGCAAAAGATGTCACGGTATTGCGCAGCATAACTATGTGAATAGCTAACTGCGTTCCTGAATACACCAGTTTGCACATGCCCCAGCGATCGATGTAATTAGCGAGAGTGGTCAGGTGGTGTCTGACGAGGATGCACGTAGATTCAAAACAATTATCATATGAGCAGAGTCGCGCAGCGCGGCAGTTGGATGGAATAGCGCGTGATATATGTGAGCTAGCACGGAAGCACACCGGTGCGAATGCGTAAATTGACATGTGGTGAAACTGCCAACGATGGTCTTCTCTCGTCGTCTAGTTGGTTTATGACACGGTGCTTATAGAGGTTTTTACAGATTGCCCCTGTGTACGGCCCGCGTAACAGCGGAATAGAAACGCCGTTGTCCGGGGTTCGAGTCCCCGCGGGAGAAAATTTTACTCCACTGCGCGGTGGAGCAAGTTGCTGGCGAGACTAGCCAGGCGCGCGTGCGCCCTGCTGGAGATATTTGCAAGTATTCTGTTTGCCTCGTGCATGATATTTCGACATGCCAAGGGGGGACATGTCTTTGGCGCAGCGATACATATGCTTGGCATTATGCTATGGCATGTACGCAGCGGAACGAGGCCAGCACCACAGTTCAAGATGGCGGCTCAGTAAGCTGCGCGGCCGACAGGAATGTCCGGCCTGCAATCTAGCCTGTGCGGCTGTCGACATGTCATCGACATGCCGAGCAGCTCGCGGAGGCAGCTAGCTGACTGACTGTGGCAGAGAGCACCTGACTGCTGCAGGCCGCGGGTGCTCGCGGCTGGCGCTGACTACCCGCTGCAGCCCACACACGACTCACGACACCCCGTCATCCCGACACTGCAGCGCATGGGATCACATGCATATTCAATATACTTGCCTAGTGGACAACTGCGGGAGCAGTGGGCCACGGGACAGCGCTGAGGCGCTTGCCCCGTGCGAACGCACCAGCCAGGGGCAGCGGGCGCGCGAGCGGGTCTTCCTTCTTGACCTTGTATATGCGCACGATCCAGTTTTCTGTCGTGAACGCCTCGTCAAGCACATCAAGCGTAGGCGACTTGCTTGGCCCCTGCGATCCACGCACACGGTCCATCGAGGGACCGCCGCCAAACATGTCGTTGAAGCGGTAGTACGACATTTTGTACACGAGGCTCTCGCGCATCGTCTTGGTCGCCTGGTCGTCCACGCGGAACTCGCCACGGCTGGTGAAGAAGCTCGACTCGACGACCTCGTCGGGCCACACGCCCTGCGCAATGCGCACCATCCACAGGAACTTGTTCAGGTCGTCGCCAGAGAACCCGATCATCGAGCCAAAGATGATCAGCACATAGTCCACGTCGTGCTTGCGCAGGATGGGGTACGCACGCTCCTCGGACGACGCCATCGCCTTGCCGACCGTCGCGATGTGCGTGTTGTTCCACGTGTTGTTGTCCACGAGCGTCGGACGGTCAGCCAGGCCCGCGATCTGGTAGCCATAGTCCCACCAGCTCATCACGCGCGCGTCCTCGGGCGTGTTCTGGCGCAGCCAGTAGTATGCCTCGCGGAAGTCGTCGATGATCATCTGCGAGCCGTCGTTGCGCGACGACGCAAGGACGACCGACGGCGACGAGTATGCACTCGCCGTCACGTACGTGCAGTGGAGCACGAACTGCACAAGCAGGCCGAAGAGCATGCCCACGACCGCAATGCGCGAGAACATGCCATACACTCCGTCGGGCACCACCTGCGTCGTGCTCTTCTTGGTGCGCACGGTCACCGGCTTTGGCTCCGGCGCGACAAACGCATCGAGCACAGTGCTCACCGCGATCGCCGCACACACACAGACGACCGGCGCGAGCGTGAGCATCAGACGCACCATCACGCCCGAAAAGTACGAGCCCATGATCGCGTAGATGATCACGAACACGTGCTCGTCGCGCAGCTCGCGGAAGAGGAAAAAGACGCCCGCTGGGAAGAGCCACACGAGCATGTGGAGGTCCATCAAATATGCGCCCCATGCAGTCGGCTGGTGCTCGGACACGGACGCGATGATCGGGATGTGCTTCTTTGCATAGCCCGTGTCCCACAGCGAGTAGAAACGGCCGGTCCACGGCGCAATGTAGCCCGCCTGCGTGAGCACGACGAGCGCGGCGAACGCGGCGAGCGCGATCGACGCGACGGCCGTGCGCGCGAGCGTGCGGAACTGCGCGGAGGACACGTAGCTGCGCGCCAGCTCGGCGAGCGCAATCAGCTGCAGCAGGCCAAACACGCCGAGCGCCGCCATGTGCTCGCTCGTGCGCACGGGCTGGAAGCCCACGAACGGCACCTGCATGCTCGCGAGCGTGCCCACGACGTAGAACGACGAGTAGGCGACGTACAGCCGCTCGCTCCAGCGCCCCATCAGCACGAGCACGAGCGCATGCAGCGGCACCATGTTGGTGATGAACACGTAGCCACCCCACGCGGCGACCATGTAAAAGTACGCGAGCGCGGTCGCCACGCCATAGAGCATCGAGCCCGTCTTGAGCGCGCGGATCCACAGATAAAAGGTGAAGAGCAGCAGAAAGATCGCGATCGCCTCGTTGTCGTACGCGCCCGCGACCGAGCGCGACGTGTAGCCCGGCGCGATGCCGACGAACGCGGCGGCGAGCAGGCCCGCCGCCTCGTCCTTCATCTCGCTCGTGAACAGGTACGCGACGAACGCGGTCAGCGCGCTGAACGCCGGCGCGAGCATCACGCAGATGTCACGGATGTCGACGGGGATGTTGAAGAAGTGCAGCACGTTGTACAGCGTGCCGCTCGTGATCATGAGGCCCGGGAACGCCGTTCCACCGGCCGCACGGCCGAGCGGGTACCATGCGGTCGGGTCGAACCAGTTCCAGAAGCGGTAGTAGCCGTCGCTCGTAAGCACCTTGGTCGCCCGGAAGTTGAACCACGGATCGAATTCATGGATAATCGACTCGTAGCGCACGACCGAGAACAGCCGCGACGACACGGCAGCACCGGCGATGAGCACCAGCGTGACCGTGCGCAGCAGCGCAGCGGCATTCGCTGTCGACTGGGAAGCCGGCATGGTGGCGGACGCTGCGCTGGCCAAGTCACGTGGAACCACCACCATGCGTGCCGACCAGCGCACGTATGCGGTTGCTCGCGCGTGCGAGCTGCCGAACCATGCGACGGACGTGTGCGACACGGTGTTTGTGAGTGCCGCGCTGGCCGCTGCACTGGACTGCGGCGACAGGCCGCTCGCGATCGCTGCTGCGCCGATGCAGCCGCAGCCGCTTGTTCCGACTGTCTTTTGGGCGGCGCTCGCGCCACCCGAGATGGAGGACGATGCGCATGTGGGCGGCGGCGAGTATGCCGTGTTCGTCCCCGGCGCCAAGCGAGCGTGGCACGCGCTGTACGGCATCCACGGCGACGAGCTCGCGGTGCTCCCCGTGGCGCCTGTGCCGCTCTCCGCCACAGTTGTCACCGCCGAGTCGCTCAGCGGCGTCGACACACAGAGCCTGCAGCAGTCGCTGCATGGACGCATCCTGCGCAGCGGCACGACTGTCGCCGTCGGAGGCACAGCGCTCCATGTGGCCATGTGCGAGCCGGTGGCCCAGGGCGTTGTCGACGGGGCCGCGACGTCCGTCTACATTGTGCAGGCGCCGCCCAAGCACGCGCCGCAAAGCGCAGGTTCGGGCGCAGGCGCGCCGCAGGTGGCTACAGACGTGTCGCTCGAGGCGTTCCTCGAGCATGCCGCCGCGGACGACGTTCCGCGCAGCGCGGCGTACGCGCTCACGACGCTCGACGAGCCGTCGCATGTGCATGCGGCCATCGCGCGCTACCAAAAGAGCCAGGGCACCACAGACAGTGGCGCAGCATACGTCGACCCCGAGAGCGTAGTGCTCCTGAGCGACGGCGGCCTTGCGCAGCTCGCGGCATTCGATGGCGACTGGGCAGTCGCGTCCGCGGGCGGCGAGCCGCGGCTCGTGCGTCTGTTTGCCGATCCAACTGTCACGGGTACAGACTTGCCCGGCGCTGCAATTTCGCCGCTGCTCGCATATAATTTATGTGGAGGTGCCACCGGGGTCCTTTCGCTCCGGCCGCTGCCTGCTCATGTGCTCGACGAGGCAGAAGTCAGCGCGGCGCCACCACTCGTGCCTGCCGCCGAGTCCGTGACGATTGCACGCATCGCATCGCCCGTGTCGACTGACCGCGCATACGAGGACCTCTGTGTCGACGCGCTCCGTCGGCATCTTGAAAAGCCGCGTCTCCTGCGCCAGGGCGACGTATTCGCCGTGGCCATCCAGCCGCAGGCCGCACGGTTCCTCCATGTGGACGTCGAGCGCGAACGCAGCGCACAGGGCAGCACGGAGGGCCTGCCGCCCGGCTCGGCGCCCGCATACAGCGGCGCCGTCGTCCACTTTTGCGTCACCGAGCTCTCGCCGGCGCTCGCTGATCCCGCAGAGCTGCGCGCCACGCTGCCCGCGAACGCAGCAGGCATGCACAACTGGCTCACGGCGCTCGCCGCCGAGGGAATGGACCGCTTCGGGTGCTGGGTCGACGTGTCGCATGCCCGTGTCGTCCAGTCTGGCGAGGTGCAGCGCCGTGTTGCGGACGCAGCGGCATGGCTCGGCGTCCAGTCTGACGCTCCCCTGTGTCCGCGTGTGCAGACGCCGCTCACAGCGCCAGGCAGCGTGTTTGCACGCTATGTCGATCTCGTGTCGGCCGCCATGTCGTCACGTGCGCAGCAGCTCGACGTCAGACTCGGCATCCTGCTTACCGGCGCGCACGGCACAGGCAAGCGCACGCTCACGCGGTGGGTCGGCCAGCGCACGGGCGTGCATGTGTTTGAGATGAGTGCCTACGAGCTCGTGTCCGACACTGATGCACGCACCGAGGGCATATTCAGCGCCAAGTTCGAGCGTGCGCGTGCATGTGCGCCATGCATCGTGCTTTTGCGCGACGTCGACGCACTCGTGCGCAAGGGCGACGCACAGGTGCAGACGCTTGTCGCGATGCTCCGCCGATGTGTCGAGGGCGCGACTGACGCGAAAGCCGAGTCTGACGCAGACAGCGCTGAGGCGCCGCCGCCGCTTGTGCTGGTCGGCACTGCCGAGGACGCGGAAAAACTCCCGCCCGCGCTGCTGACCCTGTTCAACCAGACGCTCCGCATCGATCCACCGGGCGAGAGCGAGCGCCGCGAGATTCTTGACTCGGCGCTCCGCCGCTTTCCCACAGCCGCAGACGTCGACGCCAAGGGACTTGCAGTGCAGACAGCCGCGCTCGTGGCCGCTGACCTTGTCGATATTGTGGAGCGCGCACGGCTTGGCGCCCTGCAGCGGCTTAGTCAGCGACTGCAGCTCGGCAGCGATGCATGGAGTGAGCGCGACGTCGCCGCAGCACGTCCCGTGCTTGTGCAGAGCGACCTGATGGACGCGC